TAATAGTAGAATTCAAGTTAGTTGGTTGAAGTGGAGGGATGCTTCGGGCCTTTTGTGTGAAAAAAAGTACCGCTTAGACTAAAAGGAAAATTTTATAAGACGGTGGTTAGACCTGCAATGCTCTATGGCGTTGAATGTTATCCTTCAAAAAAGAAGCATAATAATAAGTTAAGTGTTGCCGAGATGAGAATGATTAGGTGGATGAGTGGCTTTACACTTAGAGACAAAATGCAAAATGAATATATCCGTGATAGGGTTGTTGTAGCTCCTGTGACAGACAAAATTAGAGAAAGTCGTCTTAGATGGTTTGGTCACATTAAACGTCGACCATCTGATGATCCGATTAGGAGACTAAATGTTTTAGATTCGACTTGTGTTAAAAAAGGCAGAGGTAGACCTAGGAAGACTTGGGCTTATTGTAGAAAAAATGATCTTAATTTACTAGAACTAAATGAAAATAACACTAAATAGGACCAAATGGAGAAAAAGGATTCATGTAGCCGACCCCACGTAGTGGGAATAAGGCTTTGTTGCTGTTGTAGTTGTTGTTGAAACAACAAAATGCAAAAATTAGTAAATCCAAATACATATCTCATGTCAATGATTTAACCTTGTTTCACATTGATTTAGAATGCTTCTAAACATGTTTCACCCTTCAACTGCCAGTGCATATTTTCTTAAATTCTTAAAGAAAGAATAAACTTTGATACCCCAAAACCTAATTAATTTTCTTTTTCATATTTAACAGGTGCCATCAACAGTTATTTAAAAAATTGCTTAAAATTATTGCGTAATGGTAGTTATTAAACCAATTTTGCCGAGTAAAAACTAGACCAATTTAATACAAGAACTTAAGATTATCCTACTTGGTCCAAATTTTTATCTTATAATAAGAAATAAATTCATAGATCATGATGAAAGATTCCCTAAATCTGGGCATTATCTTCCACATATCACAAGCCACAACTTACCACCCTCAAACAAGTGTTTTAGTAGAAGTATCCAATCATGAGATTAAAAGAAAATTGAAAAAAATCATAAATCCTAATAGGACAGATTGGTTTGCTAGATTTGTGGGATATATATATATTATTTTTTTATTTTTTTATTTTTTTTTTTGAGGGCTAATATATTAAAAAGAAAACGACTAATATATTAACTAGAAAGAAAGATACAGATACAATGTGATGGAGGGCCCAAACATGACACCCTGCTCACAACAAAACCACAAGGGGTTCCACAACTAGAAAATACTAAAAAGTTCATTCAAGACATAAAGAAAAGGCCTAAAAATGCAGAAATACATAATATCAGGTAGCTAGAGAGCAACTCAATTTGATTTTGCCTCTGCCTCTGGTTCTAAGAAAAGAGCAAGCTAATATGTTGGTAAGATGATTAACATTGCCAGTAGTAACCAATGTATCATCAAATAGGTTCCCGAGCTGGAGTCGGCCTCAATTCTTCTTCTTCCTCCTGGAATAGACCTGTCATTCCTCTTTTGAAGATTGGCCCACTTGATTTTGGTCTAAAGTGTGCTGGGGATGTGCAGATTGTTGGATATTAGAAGCAACTACCTGTTGTACCGGCTGATCTTTTATTGAATCAAAGGAGCACTCTCGTGTGTTGGCATGTGAGTGAGTCTTCAATAACAATGGGTGGTATGAGCACAACTCGATCTGTAGCTGTAGTATGCTGTTCTTCTTCAGAAACTGCGGTGTTGGGAAGAGGATCGGGTTGCATCTTCTCAATAGGAATAGTAGGTGGTTGTTCTTTAGCGATATTCAGCCTTAGATGAGGATGCAAACGATAGCAACTAGTAGAGCTGTGGCCAAACAAAATAGAATGAGAGCAATAAGGAGGACGTGGTTTCATTTCAACCTTTTGTCGATACCCGTTGTGCATAGTGTCAATCCATATCTCATCCGGAGTTGGTTGAGTGATATCTCTCTCAACTAACATACAAGCCACGGATGGTCTAGTGACAGCAAGCGTAGGACTATCCACCTTGAGAGGCTTACCGTAAGCAGATGCTAAAGAGTAGAGGATTTTCATGTCGAACAGATGTAATTTTAACCTCGAAAAATTTATCCAAACAGGAATGATAGGGGACTCCACTTTTGGATCAAAACCGACAGTCCACTTCAAGATTTTCATAAAATGATTGTCAATCTTGATAGCTTTTCGAGAGAAAATGTGTGTGTAATCGGTATCATGAGATAGCTGAATAAGTATATGTCTACCGTCAAGTAGTCCAATGTTCCAACTGCCCAATAGTTTAATAGTATCAAATTCCTTCCTAATGATCTCCAGTTTTAGGTGACCATAAAAGAATTTTCCTACTAGAGAGAAGCGCCAAGAGGACGTGAGAGTGTCGGTTTCAACCTCTGTGAGAATAAGTGCAGGCCTCCCATTTTTTTTCCAAACTTTTTAATAAATGTGTGATCAGCTCCATCTTCAAGAGCCTCATGGAAAGATTTTGGACCATGGCAGGACTTACGATAGCAAAACCAGACGCTGAACCTGGATTAGGGGCACGAGCAGGAAAGTCGCCGGCAAGAGCATTTGCATAGGAACATAGCTTCGAGGTCATCTCCTTCACAAGATAGGAGAGAAATAGTCTGGCGGGCAGGAAGAGCAGACAGGTGAACGGGAACATTCTGTCGGGCAGGAAGCGAGAAGGCGCGCCCTTGAACAGGAAAGCAGACAAAACCGCAGCTCGAGGAAACCGCGCCGAAGCCCTTCGTCGAAGACCGCAGAGACCTTCGTCATCGTCATCAAGTGCGGTAGCTAATATATTAACTAGAAAGAAAGATACAGATACAATGTGATGGAGGGCCCAAACATGACACCCTGCTCACAACAAAACCACAAGGGGTTCCACAACTAGAAAATACTAAAAAGTTCATTCAAGACATAAAGAAAAGGCCTAAAAATGCAGAAATACATAATATCAGGTAGCTAGAGAGCAACTCAATTTGATTTTGCCTCTGCCTCTGGTTCTAAGAAAAGAGCAAGCTAATATGTTGGTAAGATGATTAACATTG